AAAGAAAGAAAGAAAGAAAGAAAGAAAGAAAGAAAGAAAGAAAGAAAGAAAGAAAGAAAGAAAGGAAGGAAGGAAGGAAGGAAGGAAGGGAGGGAGGGAGGGAGGGAGGAAGGAAGGAAAAGAAAGAAAGAAGGAGAGAAAGAAAGAAGGAGAGAAAGAAAGAAGAGAGAACCACGGAGGAGATGATTGCATTTGGGCCAGTAGGTTCTTACCTTGAGTCTTAAATTGAGCCTTGGCCTGCCCCTGAGGTTGATTCTTTCTAAAGAAGCATTCAAACTCCCGTTGTTTGAGTCGTCTGTGCTTTTGAAACCAAGTCTAAATTGGAAAAGAAAATGTAACTTTCACCTTTTTCCACTTTTGTCTTGGTACTCTTTCCCAGTGGCTGCACATCTTCCAGTCAGATGTAAATATTTCTCCTTTTGCCAGACTCTGACTCATGGTATCAGGTGTATGCATGCCATGTCTTTTCTCCCAAGCAATAGGAGAATCCCAAATGGCCCATATCTGTCAAGTTCAGTGCCAGGTTCAAGTTCAGTAGCTTCTGAGGAAGTAATACCATTTCTACATAGAACAAATATGGTGCCACAGATACAGAATGTACCTGAACTCTGGATTCTGAAAAGACTGCTAGTCTAGCCAGTTTGTCCCTGTTTTCAATCCCAGGGCAGCAGGAAGAAAATGCAAACCAGTCAAGATCCTTCAGACATCAATCTAACCAAACAAAACTTATTAGGCATCTGTCCTTGAAGCAATGTCCATAAGAAAAAAAGCAATGAATTCTTCAATGAATATCATTATTGCCACAGAATACTAATATCACGGTCAAGTTCAAATAAGAATCGGTCAGCATTCTGATTAGCATGCCTTCTGTGGTCATTTTAATGGCATTTGAATTAAACTTCCCAGATTTACGATACTGTTGCTCTCTCGCCCTCCCACCCTCCACTTTTATTCCTTCTCTCTCTTTCTCCTTTCCCTTTCTCCCTCTGTGTGTGTGTGTGTGTGTCTCTCTCTCTCACACACACACATACTCCTCAGTCTTGTTGTTTTGTTTGTTACCATACATAAGTTACACAGGGGTGGGAGTGGAAATGTTATTGTGACATTTCCACACCTGTGTACAATATATTCCAATCAATCTCACTCCTTCCCTCCTCTCCTTCCCTTCTCCTGAAAACAATGTCAACAGGTTTTAATGCTCAGTTTTCATACAAAAAAATCTACTTGGAAACAACAATGTTTAAATTTCAAAATAAGTTAAAATAACAGATTAGAAAAAAATAAGAAAGGAAACAGAAACCTAGCACCTACCAGAATTTGGGACTCTGAGATGCCCATTTCTCTGGCCATAGACTCCCTAGCAGCTAAGTCAGGATAAGGGTTCTTTTCGAACCATGCACAGAGAGTATCCTTTTGACTCTGGCTCAAAATAATCCTCTGCCGACGGGCTTCTCTTTCTAGGGAGTCTAAAAGAGAGAAAGAAGTATAAAGTCAGTTTATGGAGCACATACTTCCTATGTTTATGCCAGACTGAAAAGTATAACTTGCCAAGATGGTATAAACATGAATCTAAGCAGACACAGACTATAAACACATAACTCCATAATCTAAGCAAGAACTGACAGAAATCCTACAGTAGTATCATGAAAAGAAAAAGAAGCAACTCAAAATGGGAAATCTTCATGAAAATCAATGACTCCAAACAATAAAAAAAAAAAGAATTAAGACCCTGAAATAAAATACTAAAAAGTTGTGTTTGAACTCCAAGACAGCATTTAATAACATTAAAATACGAACCTTAGGACTTTCATTGTTCCCTTAATCTCATCAGATGGACCCAGCTAGCTCTCTGAGGTGTTGGGAAATCCCGGAATCCAATTTCAAAATACTCAGCCAGCCACAGACCCAATTAATCCCGGAAAGGAAAAAACAAAACAAAACAACAACAACAAAAAAAAAAAAACCACTTCCCTCTCAAATGTTTTTTGACAATCATGGTTGTAATGTAAAAGTTCCTAAATTCTATGACAGAAAACCAGCAACACTGGGAGAAACTTACTGTTTGGAAGCATTCTGGGAATTCAAATGGACTCCTCAAAGACCAGAGCAAACTAAACCGCTCTCAGTAGACTGCTCCCAAGAACCAGAGCTGGGCCCACCCTTTCTTAAATAGGAATTGATTTAATCCTTTCATTAAATAGTCAACCAATTGTGAGGACTCTTGATTGTCAACTTGATTGGATTAAGAGATTCCTTGGGGATTAGGAAAATTAACTCAGGGTGTGTTTGTGCAGGCGGAGCTGAGTAGATTTAGACTGTCAAGTGAGGACTCTAATTTAATCACGGATTTCACCCCCTCCCCTTGGGCTCAGAATTTGAATAGAATATTGAAAAAAGGGGGTGGGGGAGTTGGCTTTCCTAGGGTGTGTCTTGCTGCCCCAAGCAAACTTCAACTAAAACCTGTAAAGTTATAAAGCAAAAAACCATCTTTGCTCCTTGAAACTCCAAGTATCTTGTCACAGCAAAGATCTAACTAGCACTACCATTTGGAGTCGATTTATAAATTAAATTTGGGGTAACAGTAGTTATCTAGTTGGGGGGGTGCCCTTCAGGTTCCCCTTGTTTCAGTCCAACAAGGACTTGAAGGATTCCAAAAAAGACAGAGAAAGACATGGAGAGGTTTATTATGGAGCCAAACTAGACTCCATTGCAGAGGAATTCCACTAGATAGAGAATTATGAGGCAGGAAAAGCATGCGTAGATTTGAAAGTAAAGCGTAAGACACCGGGAGACACCGAGGAAAGGCCTCTTTGCTCTTTGTGGGTTAGGGCTGCCTCAAGTCTTATTTACTGCCTCCCGGACAAGGACAAGGAGGAAAAAATATAGACTTCTCTGAGTAAGAGAGCTAGAAGTGGAGTCTTAATAGTTTAGCGCCATCGTAGGCTTATGGGGAAAGCAGTCCCTCTTTTTATAATCTTTCAGACGCATATTGGCTGCCCTGGCATCTGGTTGAGTCATACATTCTTTCCCCCAGGGGGAGGGGGCATTTGCCCCCGCCTGGAAGCTGCTCCAAAGTCCTCAAGGTCTTTGCAGTCTCAGAGAAGGAGTTAAAGGCTCCACCAGAAGTCAAGGCTTTCTCTCTAGGACTTTTGAACAGGGGGAGGTGCAGACTCCATGGCCATCTCTGATTTCCCCAAGGTCCCCAGGATGCAGAAGTGTCACTTCCATTAGGATCACTGTCTCTCCACTAAATCTCTCTTGACAGTACAGATTTGAGGAAATAATTTGTTTTATTTTATGAGAGGAGATCTTTCTATCACAGAGTACTGGGTGGTATAAAACTCATGACCATCTTGCTTCAGCCTCCTGAATACTACGATTACAGGCATGTACCACCATTCCTGACTCTACTAGATAATTTTGTCTGTCCTGAGGCTTTGGTTCTGAGCTGCCTGGTTTACACAAATACATGATTTTCCTCTCTATACTTGTCACTTCTAGTTATTTGAGCTTGGCTATGTGATGCAAATATGTGGAAGTCTTGCCTTCTTTTGTATCTTGTTAATTTTTTTCAACTTCTCTTGAAATGTATGCATATAGGCCAAGTTTTCCTAGTCTGTTTATTTACTGAACACACATAGGGGTGTGGCTGTGACACTGTCTTGCATGTATGATTATGAGTAAGATCAGGTGATGTGAACTAAAGCAGATTGTAAGATATAACTGAAAAGATCAATCAAAGGATCCTTCACATCCATGCCAAGGGACCATGAGGAGGCAGGCAGGCACAGGAGGAAGATTATCACAAGGTTTATTAGAGGAGCCATATTTTTCCCAGAGAGAGAGAGAGAGAGAGTAAGAGAGCGCACATGGCAGCCTCCACTCTCTAGGTAGCAGCGAGGTCTGGAGGATAGGAAGTGAGGTAGGATGTGACAGATCCTTTCAATAACATGGGTGAGAGGGAAAAGGAAGAAAGTCAAGACTTGCCTGAAAATAACCACATCAGCTCTTGACTTCAGCCTCTCTTTCCCCACATTCTCCAAGTTCTTTTTTTTTTTCCTGTCATAGGGCTTGAACCTAGGGCCTAGGTTCTGTCTCTGAGCTTTTCTGATTAGTACTCTACCACTTTGAGTCACAGCTCCACTTCCAGTTTTCTGATGGTTAATTAGAGATAAGAATCTCACAGACTTTCCTGCCCCAGCTAGCTTTGAACCATGATCCTCAGTCTCCTGTGTAGCTAAAATTATAAATGTGAGCCATCTGCTTACCCAGCTTAAACCAATTTTTGAATTAGAACTTCTATTGAAAACTTATTTCACACTGGGCACCAGTGGTTCATACCTACAGTACTAGCCGTTCAAGAGACTGAGACGTGGAGGATCAAAGTTCAAAGCCAGAAGAGTTAGAAAAATCTATGAGACTCCATATCCAATTAGCCAGTGAAATGAAGCATTAGAGGTATGTCTCAAGTGGTAGAGTGCCAGCTGGGAGCAAAAAAAGCTGAGCAAGAACTCCAGGGCCTGAGTTTAAGCCCCAGTACTAGCAATATAATAATAATAATAATTAGTCTTTATTGGGTATATCATGTATGTCTGTGTATATGTGTATCATTTCCAAAGAAGCCACAGGTTTAAACTAAACAAAATAATTATATGTAGAAAAATTATGCTCTTTGGGTCCACAGGATTTACAAAAATGGCAAAATAGCCAAAGACCCATAGTATCTAATGCCTCTAGGATTAGATGCAAATTAAGTGAATGCTTTGGTTCTAGTCTGGATGCCTTATCCAGGAAGCAGAAATTATCTAATTAGGGAAAAAAAGCATCCTAAACTAAAGGATGTCAATGACATCTCCCAACAGCATCCTGGTTTCACCCACAACCACAGCTTCCTGTTGCATCCTAAGAGAAAATGTTTGGCCCTAGTGTGAGGTCTGCCGGGGAGAAGAGCCCCTTCCCCTCCCTCCTCTTCCTGAAGGACAGCACATAGCCTTACCAGAAATCACCTGCCTGAAACTGGTAATCACCTATAATTGCCAATCACTGGACTGTCCATCACCAGACTATAACTCAGCAAAAGGACCCAGGCTCTGGGGTCACTTCTGCAAGGCTCTGGGATCACTTCTGCATCCACTGTGGCCACACTTCCTCTTGGCCCTCTCCCATATTGTCTCTCTCCACCATAAGTTGTCTGTCTGTACACCTACATCTGGTGAAGGCCAGGGGTTTGGTTCTCCTAATACACTCTCTTCTGCCTGAACTGCATGGGAGTCTCCTTTCAGCAACCCTTACTGCTGAAACCAGGAAAGGATAGTCTAGAGTTGCTGGATTCTCCTCCATTTCTCTTTCCAAGGGTCAAGCCACCTCCTGACTGCCCTGAGATTGCTTATGTACTGTTATCTTATTTCAAAGTACTGTATTTATGTTATTTCAAACTATTGTATCTTATTTCAAAATCTTTTAATAGTCACCTTATGTAAATACTTCTCTCTTCAATCTAGCCAATTGGGAGCAGACTGTGAAACTGACCTCAACCAATCTGAGCAAAGGGGTGGGGCCTGCTATGTTTAGGATAAATAGGGAGGAGCCTGCCTGCTCTGTGTGCTTGCTTGCCAGATTTTTTGGCTGCTGGTACATCTTTCTGCAGAAGTAACTTTTGCCTTGCTGAGACGATTATTTGTTTCCATGTCTATTATATGACTCCAGTGGTTTTGGAGAACATGTTTATAATAGCTCTTAACAAAAAAGCTTCTAACTAGGAACTCACCCATATAACACCAGAAGTGGCACCCATCCCATAAGATGCACAATTGTTGCATAGAAACAAGAGATATGAGACACCTGTACTGCATGACTTCTCCAAAACTTTATACCTCTAAAACCTGAATCCAAAGATTTGAAATGGTCAAAACGTTGGGCAAAGAACTCAAAAGCATAGCTTTTAAGGTGATCAGTGTTCTCAAGGAGGATTCAGATAAATAGATGGATGAGCCACAAAGTCAAGTCAAAGTCTGAGTGAGAAATTCAACACACTTGAGTGAGAAATTCAGCAAAGAGATCGTTGAAAGAAAGCCAAAGATTGAAAATGTAAAGCTCAATAAATAACATTTTATTTATGGCTTATGCCTGTAAATCCTAGCTACTCAGAAGGCTAAGATCTGAGATTCAAAGTTTGAAGCCACCCCAGGCAGGAAAGTGACTTATTACTCATGAATCAGCAGAAAGCCAGAAGTGGCGCTGTGACTCTGTTAGTATTATGCTCACCTTTGGTCCTCAGCTCCACCCACACCTGAGCTCCTCCCATTCCTGGAGTTCCCGTCATAGATACATTCCTGGCTCCTCTCTCTCTCTCCGCCCAGACCCACCTGAACTTCCATCTACCTCACTTCCTATCCCCCAGACCCTCCTGCTACCTGGATGGGGACAGAGGCCATGTGCTCCCTCTTGGGGGAAATATGGCTCCTCT